ACCTTTGCATAGCGATATTGTGCGAACCTTTCCTTGGTCCCAGGGCACTGGAGCAGCAGTGCTATTTTCTATAAGTTATACAGTAGATACCAAAACTCTAAGCCTGGGGCACATTCTGCAGATTTTAGGCCATTTGTCCACTATTGGGCTTGAGGATATGGTCATCTTAACCCAATTACATGAGCTGGAAAATGGGTAGGGTTGATTTACCACAAATCCTGGGATAGTGACGCAGATGTGTGCTGGACACAGAAGGGGGTGCATGAAGGGTGGGCTGGACTGCTGGATCCCACTGGGGATTATAAAGTGCATCGAGCAGAGTTACTTCCTGGCCTCACATATTCATCATCTCTACTTTTGGGGTGAGTTTCAGACTCATCCCAATAGGCCATCAATTTTCCACAACCCCTGTGACCCCATCTCAAGTCCAGCTCTGCCTTCCTCTCTGACCCAATACACTGGCTTTAGTTTCTGCCTCATTCCAGCCCATCCTCTCTCTGGCCTCAGGAGCTGTAAACATACTACGCATACTGTCTGGAACTTTCTCTTCTGTCTTCTTCCTCACCCTACCCTTAGCTTAACTCATCCGTTTAAATATGTTTTCCTCTGAAAAGAAATCCTGAATTCTCAGAGAGAACCAGATCTATTTACTACTCTCATTGTCTCCTATATTTTTCCACAGATGGATCAGTTATCTAATAGGCATATACTTTTATAATGTTTGTTGTCTCTTCCCAGTGGACTTCTTGTTCCATGAACACAAGGCCTGTGTTTTGCTTACTATCTTAGTATTAAATCTGTAGTTCCTGGTGCATAGGAATCATTCAGAATGTATTTGTTTAATGAATGAATGAAAGAGCATATTTGGATTATATGCCTAGTCACCTTGAGATGTGTTACAAAATAACTTTGATTGTGTCTTAGTCTGCTTAGGCAGCTGTAACAAAATACTGGAGACCAGATGGCTTATCAGTAACAAACATTTCTTTATCATAGTTCTAGAGGCTAGGAAGTCCAAGATCAAGGGCCTGGCAGACATGGTGTCTGGCAAAGGCCCACTTCCTTCATCATAGACAACTGTCTTCTGTGTCCTTACATAGTGGAAGGAGCAAATGAACTCTCTTGGCCCTCTTTTCCAAGGACATCAATATCATTCATGATAGTTGTATTTTCATGTCCTAATTAGCTGCCTGAGCCCTTACCCCCTACTACCATCACCTTGGGAGTTTGGAATACAACATACAAATTGGTTTTGTTTTTGGTATATAACATTTACTCCACTGTAACCAGGTAGCTTAAACAGAAGGCATTCATTTCTCATAGTTCTGGAGACCATCATGTCAAACACCAAGATCCGGCCTGTTTGATTTGTGATGAGGACCCTTCTTGGCTTGCAGTCAGCCATCTTGTTGCAATCTGTCAATGCAAAAAACAAGCAAGACAGTACACTCTTTGGTGTCTCTTCTCATCCTGAGACCTCACCTAAACCTAATTAGCTTCCAAAGGCCCCATTCCAAAGGGGGTTAGGATTATACTGGGGATTAGGTTTTTGGTATAGGAATCTGGAGGAAGACACAGTTCAGGCTGTAGGATATGTGTCGTCTTATTTGATTCTTGACAGCCCCATGATGTAGGTTCCACTTGAGGATGAAGAAAAAGCAACTTAGAAAGTTGAATAGACCCAAGTCAACCAACTAGGTAGTGATAGAACTTGTAGATTTTCATATTTAGGAATAATTGGCTTAAAAGCAATGGAAAATTGCTGCCTGTTCAAGCCATTTGATCTGAAGGTAGATGCAACAGCATGTGAGGCAGCGTGAAGGGAAGCTTGAACAGAGAGGAGTGTTTGTGGGGATACTTAGCTGGGCACAGGCCTGTTCCTGAACATGAGTTTTGCAAAGGTACTGGAGAGCACAGTTCATCCCTACCGGAGACTGGGGGAAGCAGTTTCACAAGAAACTGGACTGTGGAAGGTTGGGGGCGGAGTTTGGAATTATGATGTCAACTTGTACAGGGAAATCTTTGACTCATCTTTCCTCACCCTTTTGGCCTTGTTCCCAGTTTCCACACCCTTTTTCTGGCACTGACTGGTTTGTCAGAACAGGAAGAGAGAGAGAAAAAAAGCAGGCAGTACGAGTTACAAAGACCTCTGTTGAATAGATCTTAAAATGAGAACATTTCTCCCACATAGAATCCGTGTTGAGATAAGGTTGAGATTCTCCCAGACCTCTAGAACCTAGAAAACTCACAGTGTTCTGGAAATATGCAGAAATGTTATAGCTAAATTCAGATAACATTCATAGAACTGCTTCTCTGAAGTAGGTTCTGTGGAAGGTTCTGGAAGCTTAAGCAATTGTGTGCAACTTCGTCTGCCCTTGGAAAGCTGTCAGCTATAGAATGATTAAGGTACTTCAGGACACCAGCCCCTTATCTTGGCCACTGTTTCTATAGAAAGGTGAGTTTTCAGCCATGGCACACTGGGTGCAGGCCATGCTGGGAACAGGCTAAATTTCCTCCCTCTTCTCCTCTTTCTTCTTTGTGTTTGCTGACACTCCTTTGGGTACAGTCACTGTTTTCCTGGTTCCTGCCAAGGAGGAAAATCAGGAGCTTATTCTATTCAGTATGTTGCAGTTGATAGCCATGGGGGCATGCAAGAACCACATGGCATTCTCAAAACTAAGTACTGAGTTACATCCTCTGGCTTACCTTGCTAGGAACTCTGGGGACAAAAAAAGTATATATGTGTGTGTGTGTATTTTTATGTACGGCAGGCTGGTCTTGAGTGAATTTATGTACCCTAGGCTGGCCTCAAACTGACAATCCTTTTGCTTCAACCTCCTGAGCGCTAGGATTATGGGTGTATGCCACCACACCCTGCTCTAGGAGGAATATTAAATGATATATTGTGTGTTTTGTAAACAACACAACATTATATAACAGAAAAAAAATTGGAGTGATTCCTCACAGATTTGACAAGCTGGATAGTGCTCTAAAGATCACCTACTGTCACTAAACATTTGCTGTATTCCAGGCCCTTTTCTAAATACCATAGATATTAAGATTTTTAATCTGCTATACAGCCCAGTGGGATAGGTACTATTATTATTTTTCTTTTGTATTTGAGGAAGAAAGAGGTTAAGTGATTTGACCAGGGTCATATAGTAAGGGAAAGAGCTGAGATTCTAAGGCAGTCATTTCAGAACACACCATTAACATCAGACAAAGCAATCTCTTGCATACTGCATTAACAACCTGGCATGCTCTCTCTCTCTCTCTCTCTCTCTCTCTTTCTTTTAGTTTTGAGACAGGGCTTCACTAAGCAGTTCAGGCCGGTCTTCAACTCACTTTGTAGCACAGGCTATCTTGGAATTTAGAGCAATTTTCCTGCCTCAGTCTCCCCAGTGCTGGTATTATGGATGTACATCACCACACCTGGCCCTGGAATACTCTTTGACACTTAAGTGAGACTCACAACCACTTATCTTACGGATAGGTAAGTTGCTAGAAGGCAGAGACTGTACTTCATTCACACACACACACACACACACACACACACACACACTTGTTCAATGCTTGCCACATACTGGAATATTTGTTGAATGAGTAAACACCTATAGGGAGATATACAACACATCAGCTACATCTACTGTTTTTCCTGCTTTTTTCTTTTTTAAATTTTTTTTTTTTGTCTTTTTCTTTTTTATTGGTACCAGGGATCGAACTCACAACCGCCTGCTTGCAAGGCAGGTGCTTATACCGCTGAGCTAAATTCCCAGCCTCATTCTGCTTTTTTCTTAGTTAACTGTGTCCTGTCTTCTTCTACTATGTCCAACATGAGGTTGTTTGGCACTTCTCACCGTTCTCTTTGGCATTCTTTGCACTTTTTCTGCTTCTTACTGTACTTTTTCTTATCTGGGGAAGACCCGTGTAACCTGACCTTTTAAGATGTGAACACTGTACTTGCCAACTAGGCTGACTGATACTGGTTCAGCAGGACTATCATTTCCTGCCCTGTGGCAGGTCCTCATTACCCCAGACTCTCTCCTCAGGAGCCCAGGCCTGGCTCTGAACTGTATGTAGGCCTGGGCAGGTTCTTAACTATAAAACTGAGGATCTACAATGATCCTTAGGCCTTTACTGGGCACATCAGCAGAATCCATTAAGCCAACACTGTTCTCACACTATTTCTTTTCTTCTTTTTTCTCTTTCTTGAAAGAAACTAGTGTGAAGAGGTTCTCCAAGTGTTTTTTTATTTTTGGTGTTTTGTTTTATTTTTTGGTACCAGGGATCGAACTCATGACCTTGAGCATACCAGGCAGGCGCTTGAGGCACTGAGCTAAATTCCTGACCCTCCAAGGTTTTAATGGAAGAAAACAGATTGTATTTGATGAGGGAGACTGCCAGGAAACTGCTTCTTCTAGTCTGGGGTTCAGAGGGAATCAATTTTGTTTCACAGAGGTGGGATTTCTTGTAAGGAAAACAACAGAACCAACACTACCACCAGCGGCCTCACATATTGGACTGCTAGAGGAAGTAAGGGAAGATGTTTGAATTTGGAAATGCTCTGGAAAATTCTGTAATATAGTACACAGGAATGCCTGCAATGTGTTTTACTGGTCTTGAGTCAGAAAAGTAGCAACTCGTTCTCATCAGAAACTGACTAAAACCGAAATTAAGTTATTAGATAAACCGGCAATCACACGCACGATGAATTCTGTATTGATTCCAGCCAGGGCTTTTGTTTTCAGTGGCTTGTTTGGGTTAGAAATTACTTCGGGGAACCATATGTCCCACTGTATTGTCCCAGCTCGGTTTTGGGGTCTGAGGTCACAACCCCCACCTCTCAAGCGCCACCGCCCTCTGAATGGTGGGCGGGGCCTCCGCGGCGGGATCGCGCACCACAGCCCGGAGGAGGGACGCCGGCCCGGGAGCGCGCGAGAGCACGTGCGCGTGCGCGGCCGCTCGCCCTCCACGCACGCGCCCGTCCGCCCGGCCTCCCGGGAAGTCTCGCGATGCCCTAGCCGGCTGCTCCCGCTGCGGGTGGCTCGGGGTGTTGCTGTGGTTGCCTGAGTTGCTGCGGCGTATGTGGCGCTGGTGGAGGTGCCGGCTCCTGGGCGGATGTTGACATTGTGTTGTTGTTATTGCCGATGGTAATGGCGGCGGCGACCAGCAGGATCCCCTCTCCTCAGTAGCCGGAGCCGAGGGAGTCCGGGCAGCCGAGCCAGCCGAGAGCGAACTCCGCGGCCTCGGAGCCGCCGCCGCCACCTCGCCAAGCCGGTGCCCGGCGCCAGCCCTTGGAGTCAGGCCCTGGGCAGGGGGCTGCGGGCGCAGGATGGCGGATTTCGACGAGATCTACGAGGAGGAGGAGGACGAGGAGCGGGCCCTGGAGGAGCAGCTGCTCAAGTACTCGCCGGACCCGGTGGTGGTCCGCGGCTCGGGTCACGTCACCGTGTAAGGCAGGCCCCGAGGAGGGCGGGGGCCGGGTCCAGGGCCAGGGTGCAGGCTGGGCGGGAGCCCCCTCCCCGGGTTCGCTGCCGCCCAGGCCTTCGGGAGGAGCAGGCCACCCACCACGAGTGAAAACTCTCCTGCTTTCCTGTGTGTGGGTCTCCGAAGTGGGGCAGACCCTGCGCCAGCCCTTCTCCCCTTTAGCAGGCCCTACAGGCCTGGGCAAAGTGTGGGATCCCAAGAGGGAAGGTTTTACTTTGGGGGTCTGCCCTTCTGTTTCGGGGTGGAAGTGTACTTACTCGCGAGTCCTCCCCCGCTCCCCTGCATTTCTCGTGGGTTACCCTGTGGTTGTCTGCCTTAGAGCATAGTGACATAGGGCTCAGACCAGACCTGCAAAGTGTAAGACCCCCTGGAAAGTGACAGTCGGTGGTGAGGTTTCTGTCATGTGTCTGTGTATTTCACACACACCCAAATATTTCCCCAGTTTCTTAACAGTTAATATGTGCGGAACTAACGCAAGTTCCTGAGATTGTATGTGATGGAAGTGTACAGATGAACATAAATTTAAGATGATCACAAAGATACATATACATACTTACAATGAATTTTTAAAAAATCTACACTCTGTATTTTAGTCTGTTCTTGAGGCACGAATTTTCTTTTGGCTTCTTCGTTTAATAAGGGTTCCAGTATTTCTACTGGCAACATCAAAAGACCAGTATTATCTAAACAATAAAAACGAAAGCTTTCTGAAAAGTCATGACTAACAGAGGAACGTGAAGACTTGAACCCAAATAATAAGCTGTCCGAAAGTAGGAAGTTTTGTAATGTTTCTCAGAGAAGTCCAAAGTTTTGTATAACTTACTGCTTCATTTTGGATCTGTTATTTGAATCGTAGATCAGACTTACATGCTTGTCATATATCTCTGTACTTTGCCTCCTCACTCGTAATAAAAGAGCAAGCCAGTCTGAGAGTGTTTGAAGCAGTTTTCATTATACTTTAGTGTAGAGTGGCATGTGCTGTGAATACCTTAGTGAAACTGTTAAGACTTCTCATACAAGGTAGCAAAACCTTTGCACTTTTTAGTGCATTCTGTGACCAGCCATATTGTTGTTTGGATATGCTTATGTAATGCTTTGATTTCTTTAGCATCGTTAGTTTGTACTATATTCAGGTGATTTAATAGAGTAAAGTACTGCATTTACCCTGTCATAGAACCGTGATAAGACAATGGAATTTATTACTACAAGTTACTGTTTTGAGTGTCATCACTACCCTAATTAAGAAATGTAAACAAATATCATAATGAGGGTGTTTTTTTTGGGTTTTTTTTTTTTTTTTTTTTTTTTTTTTTTTGGTACTGGGAATTGAACTCAGGACCCTGTGCTTACCAGGAAGGCGCTGTGCCACTGAGCTATATCCCTGGCCCCCACAGTGCTTTTAATACCTATCACAGAATGTTTTTAGTGGCATAACTTGTCATGTAATTTTTAATATAGTTTAACTTAGGACTTAAGAAAAACCAGAAACTGAAGAGTATGTAGGCACTTCAAGGAGGAATTTCCAAACTTTCCTCCTATCTTTTTTTTTCTCTTACTATGTCAAAGACAAGCTGGCAGAATTTTATTTTTAAAGGTTCAAACTAGGCCTGGTGATTTAGCTCAGTAACCTGCTTAGCAGGCCCTGGTTTGATCATTAGTACCACAAAAATAAATAGATTAATCAATAAGTTCAACTATAGGTATCATATTTCCTGTTTTGAAGAAGAAACTTAAGCACTTTATTGCATAAATGGAAAATATAGGCAAGGTGCTAAAAAAGTACCAAATGAGTGGTAGGTTTGCACTTGGCTACTTGGGGTTAACAGTGAAGAATTACAGTAGTAGTGATTTTCAATCTTACGTGCCCATTAGAACTGTCTTTTAAAAAAAGTAACATGTCTTTGCCCTTCCCCAGGTAACTGAAGGTCCAGTTTTCTAAGTGAGGGTTCCATTCCCAAGTAGTTGGGAAAAACATCCCACAGGTGATTCTAGTGTATAGTCAGGATTGAGAAATACTATTCCAGGATAGGAGGAGCTATCTGGTACTGATAAACAGTATGCCTTTCTACATTGGCAGCTATTATCTCTGTGATCTTCTTTAAAACTTCCTTCTCCTCCCAGTTACCTTGGTTGTAGGTTATGGGTTCAAATCTACCTCTGCCACTCCTTAAATAAATTATCTGTATCTCTTCAATTTATGTAGAAATAGTTATAGTCCCTACTTTGTAAGACTGAGGATTAGATGAGATAATACATGAAAAGAATTCATCAGAATATGATATTGTGCTCAGTAAATACTAGCCTTTACTAATCATCCTCCTCAGATACGTTTTCCACTATAAGAAATTATAGGTGTAAAATTTCAATATTCAGTCAAGTATAGTGGTGCACATTTGTAATCCCAGTACTCTGAGATACAGGGGTAGAAGATCCAAGGCGACTTGGTAAAATCCTGACCCAAAATTTAAAAACAAAATCTAGGGATGTAACTCAGTGTGAAGGCACTGGATTCAATCCCCAGTTCTACCCCCCCCAACCCCCCCCAAAACAAAAAACTTCTATTTTTAAATCCGGCAGTGATTTATTTTTTTCACATGTAGACAATTTGAATTTAAATTACTATGTGAAGTTTTTCAGTGAGGAAAGAATCTGTACACTTTAAACTTAAGCCTGTTTTGTAGTGACTCAGGTATAGTAATAGTAATACATGTTTTTACATGATTCTGTCATGCATAATTCTCAGGTATAATAGAATGAGTAGCCCAGTTAGCACCTATAAACAGTTTTGAAATTGGTGCTTACATGCTGTAGTAACTGTTGAACATACTTACTTTTCCTTGTTTTCAAATAGGAAAAGCTAGTAAAGCAGTCATAGTAAGGCTGTCTAAATAAACTTTTATCACCCCGTCCTTTTTTTTTTTTTTTCAATAAGGACCTGCTCAGGAGTAGTCTGCCCATACCACTGTGAACATAAATGGTAATGTAAACTGAATAACTGAATCATCTGTAATCCAGGTTAGCCTAAAAGGATATAGAGCCGTCTGTAGGTTTTTCACAGATTTTTTGAGTTGGCCTTGGGGTTTAATATTTCTACTTTTTTTCTACCTTAATATATATTGGCATTTCCCTTATTTTAGATATTACTGTATTCTCATAGGATATGAATGGCATGTTATTGTGATATGAAGAAATAGATTGCTTTCTCTTCTCTATCACATAGACAGGTATAGGTTAGTTTTGGAGCATAATCATATATAAATAATGCAATCAGCATATAAAATGTTTCATTTGCCTAAACAAAGTCTACTTTAAAGTGGTGTTTAATGCAGTATTTTTATATTGACCTCAAATAAGCCATTTACTTTGTACTTGTGTTATGATGAATATTTTTTCTAGACACTGTTCTTTTCCATTTTTAGATTCATGTGAAGCAATATGGAGAAATCTTGAACGCTTTTGAGGAAAAGTAGTATTCGAAGGGAAGGAAATGATAAATTGCTCACGAAAAAGTCACTTTTAAGGTAGTGGTAGCCAGAGTAGTTAGTACTTTTAAATTATGATATTTTTTTACCCCATAGAATAAATTTATGGCATGTATTTGGCATTTTTTGAAGACTTCAGTTTTTCACAAGGATAGTTGCTCTAAGGACTATGTTAATCCAGAAGTTAGAATTTAAAAAATAATTTGGGGTCATATTTTCCAGCCTACTTACCATCTAACTGCAGTTATTTGCTCTGATCTTCACACCTCTCCTATGTCAGAATCAAACTTAAGGCTTTTCTAGAATAGGTATAATCGTTGACGTTTAATTTAAGTCATGTCATAGAGCCAAGTTATTTTGCTGAGGTTTGTTTCTAATGTCATTCTATCTGATTTCACTAAATTACCTTGTCTTCTTCATATATTCTCTTCTAAGGTACTGTCTTCACAAATAATATATTATTCTTAGCTCTAGTTTTTAGTAGTGGCTATGGTACATCAACTTGCTTGTCTTCATCTTAGATATTCCATGGAAAATGAGAGATTTAGAAGTGTGACTTGAAGTGAAAAAAATTTGGAAACAATTTTGGGGTGTAGTATAATCTGCATAGAGATATCAAAGGAACACTGTAGTGTTTTAGATATTTCAGATGTAGAGACAGTAAAATATCTGTCTTGAATGTTTCAGGATCTCAAGACAGCTACTAGATTCTGTAGTTAGCAGTAAGAGAACAGGACATGATTTACCTGAATAATAGAATCACTTCAATTAAATGATGTTTTAAAAACTTCATAATTCCCATCTCTTTCATTCAGTATGATTAAGAAAAGATACATTCTTTTCAAAAAATATATTAAGAAAATAAATATTTTTGAGATGAAACTTTGCTGTGGTCGCCAGGCTAGACCCAAACTTTTGTGGTCTCTAACAATCCTACTTCCATCTCCTTAGTGTTAGAACTATAGGTACATACCAGAGTCCAAGTGTTGGTTACTTTCTCTCCTTGCTAAGACAAAACACCTGATACCCCAAATTAAGGAAGGAAATCTTTTATTTAGTTCACAGTTTGTGGAGGTTTCAGTCCATAATCAGCTGGCTCCAAGCCAAGGTGCATGGCACAGGGGCGAGAGTTCAAGGTGGCAGAAGACAACAAAAGCAGCCAGAGCAAGGGGGGGGGGGGCGGCAAAGCGCTTTTCCTCCCTTATATTGTATCCAGGCTATGCCTGTTGGGTGGGTGTAGCACTCATACCACCCGTGTCCTCTTCTTACACTACCTGAGGATATTTACAAAGTGAGGACTCTAGTCCCCCGCTGAGCTGCTGGCTCAAACTTGTAGATTGAAAAAGAAAGAGAGAAAAGACTTGATTTTGACAGCTACTCTTGAATTCCAACCTAAGTTTAATAATGTTACTAGGATAAAGGACCAGGAAAGTAAAACATCTATATTCTCTGAAAGAAATATTTTTTTCTAAAGTGGAGGTT